CCCTACTGGGTCAGACCATGGTCAATCTTGCCTAGTATTCTGTCTCAGACAGTGACCTGTACCACAGCTTCAGAGGGAGTATACAGAACAGGGCAATTATGGAGTGATCTATCCCTGTCTTCCACCTCTGGCTTTCTGGTACTGTACAATAGTAAATTATAAAGCATTCTTTTCATTTTGATAATGAGTGGTAATCCATTAGCTACTGAAAGGGAGAGAGAAAGATTACTAAGCAATTAATTGGTAAGGTAGAATTTCCCCTTGTATTGTATGCCAGGACATACAATAGATTGGAGTGTTAGTCATTACTGCAGTTCAAGAAAAACAAATCATGTACATCATGTGAAAAATACAAATATATACCAATCCACAACAATGACAAGACTGTTAATGACAAGATAACACCAATTACCATTATTGGCATTGTAGGTAAAACTTTCTGGTCAATGAAATAGTCTTTGGAGAAGAAGCAGATGCCATTTCAACAACAGTGAATTGGGAGTTTTTTCTTAAGTACTAATTTCTCTCCTGTAAAACAGGACACAACCATTAATTCTAATACTGGAGTGTCTCCTTCCTTGCCAGATGGAGAAATACACAAAACTGTCAGCCAACTAGGTGGCTACTGGATGGATCACAGTGTCCATGAATTCTGGAGAACCACAATTTCAAACCTCTAAACAGCTGTATATTAAACTATTAGGCTTTTATGTTACCGCTAACTCTGTGCTATAGAAGACCTCTGAATATACTGAATTGTTAGAAATACAATTTACCGAGCTGCAAATTACAGTATTTATAATAAAATCTTCCCATACATAAGGAAGGGCAAATTGGCATAGTAGAAGAGTGGACTCACCACTGGCACACCCCTCCATGGCTGTGCGTGGCATAGCGGGCTCTCCTCATCTACCACCTTTGTTGACAGCTGCTTCAGGCCTGCTGTGGTCTGCCTCTTCTCATGTCTCAGCCCTCCAGACACCTCACTTTAAAGTCTGACCTTTCTGAGGCAACAAAGTCCAACAAACAATAGTTCTGTAGCCTCAGTCGGAGTCTTTGGCCCAAGTCTCAACACAATAGCCCTTCCATGACTGGTCTCTGGGATCTTCACACTACCTTTTCCAGTGGCCAGTAAGGGAACTCAGACTCTCTTCTCCAGGTCCAGCACCCAGGGACCCTGTAAGAAGCAGGCAAGGTCTGTCTATTCAGGCCCCCTGCTTCCTTCCAGGGCATTTTTCTACCTTTTCCCTCCAGCCTCTTCCTGGGCTCACTGTATACCTGAGTTTCTCTCAGGCTCCCTGATATCTCAAGGTCCCTCCTTCCTTCAGGGCAGTGGCTCACTGGATTCCCCACTGGAGTTCTCCAAGAAATCCCAAATGAAAAGTACCAACTTAAACCACATCCATCTATCCCAGCCTTGAACTTTAGTTCTTCACAAGTCTTCCCTAATACTCTGCTCCTCAGCTGAATGATGACATCTCCTATTTTGAGACCCACCACAGAAGTGAACTACCCTTTTCTATCATGCCACTCTTAACAGTCAGGAACTCCCAGTCTCCTCTCTCCCTAAGTGAGCTGTTTCAGTTCTTTTAAGGAAACCTGACTCCTTTCCAGAATGACCTGCTCACTGACCTGCTTAATACCCCTCCAGGTGCCAGGAGGTGGGTTAATTGTCCTCTGAGGCTCCTGGTAACTCAGTACCAATGTGGAATTTATGCCCCACCACAGGAACCCGTATGGTTTTTTTATAGAAGAAAAATGATCAGGCAAGAAGAAATGCCCCTTCTCCTGGCAAAGGCCACAGCTAGTAACCATAATAGTGAAGACATAGCTATAGATCAGTGATGTACTACCACAAGTTTTTAACAAAGGACTCCCTAAAAAGAAATATATATATAAAGTTCTGCCTCAATTGGTGATATATGTGACAGCCCCTATGTGAAATACCTTTCCCCTACTCCCAAATATCCATCAACTCAACACTCCTACTTCTGTAAAAATGCATCAATTCCATAGTAATTCCCACTCCCCAGAAAACATCAATTCACACTCAACCTATTCATAACCCATCAATTTCATAATTTTGCCCTCCAGGCTCTGGCTGGGGGGTGGATTGTCAGGTAGACAGTGCTGTTTGGGGAATGAGTCCACTTTGGTTCTTGAGCTGGGTGGGTCTAACCTGGCTGGTGAACTCCCCTAACTAATGTGCAGGGTGGGGAAAGGTTGCACCATGGCAGGTGTGTGGGGATTATTCCCTAGTGATGGAAGGGAAAACAGGGCTCAAGGCTCCTTCTCAGTACAAACTCTTTAGGCTCTTGGCTGGGTGGGCCTGCAACAGCAGAGAGAACAGCTCAGTGGCTACTTAGGGCAGCAATCTCCTCTATCTTATGTGACTGGAATGGTCAGGGAAGAAGGGGGGGAATGATGCGAGGACCTAGTTGCAGTGATGGAGATAGCAGGAGGGATATTCCTCTTATGACAGCAATAGCAGATACAGCCAGCAACAGCTGGCTTGGTTGCAGCTTCAGAGAGGAGCAAAAATGTTGACAAGCTGAACCAGCATTTTTGGCTGGCACTTCAAAACAATTTCCCAAATAAATATGATCCTCATCCACCTTGATCACATCATCATAGACAAAGCTGTCCTAAAGATTTTGGGAATAGCATGTATGTGTTTGAACAGGCAGCTTCCTTGCATAAATAGTGAACACTACAAAGCTTTTATAGCTAGCATTACCACTCTGCCGTCATTTAGAGGATATTTATCCTTTATTGACCTGAAACTGTGAGAAGAAAATTCTTGTGTGTTACCCAACAAAGCAGGCTCACATCCATTGTGAGGGTCTCACCCAACATTCTCTGGATGCTGTAAAAATATACCTGTCAAAGATACTTTGCTTTCCCCACCACAGAATCTGTGATCCTAGGGGTACTGCAAGTCTCTTTTCCAATGAGAAGCCATTGGATTAATATTTGACAATTATTCTCTCAAAGGTTCTCACATGAAGATAAACCCACACCAACGTGCTTTTTACAGGAAACCATGCCCCAAACTTTGAAAGTTACATAATAATAACTTGATGGATATTCTATTCTCGTGGAACCTGGGTGACAGAGTTAACCCACGCCCTCGCCAGAAAGGTCCGACCCTAGATCCTTTTATGAAAACTCTGAGGTGACTCAACCATCAAGCTGGTGTGAGCTATTTTCTAAGTTTATCAAAGACACACACAGAAATCCAATATGTCCATGTCTAAGACAAAGCTTTGAGCCGTATAGAAGAAAATATATATCCTGTCCTTTGTGAGACAAGATGCAGCTACTGGCATTTTTTAATTTTTTTAAAAAACACTCAGTAAGAAAGGTACCATTTTGACTGGTAGTTGACCAATTGCTGAATCTGCTCTCTCTCTCAATTACATCTTGAAATATTGAGATGACTTGCATTTTGCAATTTTTCAAACTCTAATTTTCTTCAATTGTCCCATTTTTTTCACTGAAGCAAAAGCATTTTGGGGAAAATACTATTTCTTGAGAAAACTGATCAATTATTGCTAAAAAATGACACCCAATTTATTCTCTTTTCTGCCCATGGGAGGAGTGGAGATCTTTAAAAAGTTTATACCAGCTCCCTTTTGCTTCGTTAAATCTCAAGCAGACTGCGAAGAGCTACACAAGGATCTCACAAAACTGGGTGACTGGGCATCAAAATGACAGATGAAATTCAATGTTCATAAATGCAAAGTAATGCACATTAGAAAACATAATCCCAACTATACCTGTAAAATAATGGGGTCTAAATTAGCTGCTACCACTCAAGAAAGAACTTGGGAGTCATTGTGGATAGTTCTCTGAAAACATCCACAAAATGTGCAGCGGCAGTCAAAACAGCAAACGGAATGTTGGGAATCATTAAGAAAGGGATAGATGGATAATAAGACAGAAAGTATCATATTGCCTCTGTATAAATCCATGTTATGCCCACAACTTGAATACTCTGTGCAGATGTAGATGCCCCATCTCAAAGAGATATATTGGAAAAGGTTCAGAAAAGGGCAACAAAAATGATTAGGGGTATGGAATGGTTGCCATATGACGAGAGATTAATAAGACTGGGACTTTTCAGCTTGGAGAAGAGATGACTAAGGGAGATATGATAGAGGTCTATAAAATCATGACTGGTGTGGAGAAAGTAAATAAGGAAGTGTTATCTACTCCTCCTCATAACACAAGAACTAAGGGTCACCAAATGAAATTAATAGGCAGCAGGTTTAAAACAAACAAACGGAAGTATTTTTTTCACAGAACACACAGTCAACCTGTGGAACTCCTTGCCAGAGGATGTTGTGAAGGCCAAGGCTATAACAGGGTTCAAAAAAGAACTAGACAAATTCATGGAGGATAGGTCCATCAATGGCTATTAGCTAGGATGATGTCCCTAGCCTCTGTTTGCCAGAAGCAGGGAATGGGCGACAGGGGATGGATCACTTGATGATTACCAGTTCTGTTCATTCCTTCTGGGGCACCTGGCATTGGCCACTGTCGGAAGACAGGATACTGGGCTAGATGAACCTTTGGTCTGACCCACTATGGCTGTTCTTATTTTTGTTCACTTTCTGTATCTCTCCTCTTTTTCCCACCACTCTGGGACTTTTACCTTTATCCTCCAACACAATGAGTAGAAGAGTTGACTAAGAAAAGAAAAACGAAACAAACACACACATCCCGAAAGCAAACCCCTCAAAAAGTAATCATGCTAGTGGATGAGTGGTTGACAAGCTTAAAGTAGATATCTACTAAATTTTATATCTGTAACTTGTCACTATTGGAATTAGCTGATTTTCTGATGTGGCTATTCAGGCTATTCTGATGTGTTCATCTGTTTTATACATCAAATGGATTTTTGTTGAAATTAATATAAAACATGAAAAAATGGTACCCCATGCTATAACTAAAACCCAAGTTTAATAACTCGAACATAATACTAGAGAGTGGTAAAACAGAAATCACAAGACAATTGCCTTATTGGCCCAGTTATGCCTATATAACAGGAGTGTTGTTCTGTTGCAACATTATTGCAAAAATATATTAATATTTAGAAAATACAGTTTCGATCATTAAAATAATATGCATTCACATTTAATACAAACATCTTTCCAATGTTACTGAAGAGGTGTTTCACTGAATTTTAGTAACAAATAAAAACACATTAAAATCGATATGAAGCAAACTTTGTGATGGGAAGAAACTGTTGAAATATTTAAAATATTTAATTTATAAGCGAATCTCACTAATAGAACTCATAAGGATATTAATATTGTTTGATCTCCCTGAGAAAATTGTAATGTATTTGGAGGGTAATTGCTAAAATGTAACAAAAATTCTGGATCACTGTAATAACTGTTGGGCCCAAATTTTAAAGTTTTTATGTTTAAGAAGATTCCTACTAAAGTATGTAAATATTTATGTAAATCCTGTACAAAGAAATGAAAATCCAAAAATTAGATATAATGTATGAACATTTAAATGGGATTTTATCTGTCTAACTTAGGATTTTTAGGTCCAAGCAATTACAAAATGAGCTAAATTAATACAGGTGCAACTCCGTTAACTACAGCTGAGTTAATTCAGAGTGAATTTGGCTCAGTGTTTATGCACGTACAATTAGTGTATATGCAATGTTTGCTGAAAGTGAGAAAAGGATAAAAATAGACAAATTAAACATTGGTTATATCTGACATAAAACAAAATATTTTGGTTAAGTTGGAGACTACAATAGACCTAGGAGAATGTGAAAAAATTATCTAAGTTATAGCTGTACTTATTTCATTTTTTCTGAAAACAACAAAGCTTCTGCATATGAATATATATCTGTATTTCCACCACAGCATAGAAATCTTCGCTATATACAATTTAACCTTAACATATTGGCCAAAATTTAAAACTGTAATAAAATAAAATCATGGATGCCTACAGTTAGCCTTGTGAGTCCATATTTAGGCACCTAAATAAATGGTCTGATTGTCAAAAGTGCTGAGTATTCAATAGCTCCCACTGAAACATACAGAAACTTCTGGTTGAGCAGCGCTTTTGAAAGTTATGCCACTTATTTATGTGCCTAAATATGGATTCATGAGCCTAACTGGAGCACTCAATTTTTTAAAGTCTTGGACTTAATCTAAAAGTTCATTTTATTTACTTATTCTAAATATCACATAAAATGACTTTGCTGCTCAACTTCCATTCATGTAGACAATGTAATACACAGGAGTTTCCATAATAAAAGCCAACATTTACGCACAGTTACTACACAGTGGCATTCAAGATATCACTCTTTTCTATATGAAGAATGGAAAAACAACCACATTATCTTAGATATTGTTGTTTAGTATAATCATTGAAAGTCTTTCAGTAGTGACCATTTTCATGCTCTGGTTTTCCACAGCTATAATGAATATACTGCTAAAAAGAAGCCTGTCTGTTTTAGACAATTTGCATTTGAGATGAGTTCAAAAGAGCACCCAGTCTCCACATATAAACCGAAAACAATGGGAATTCATCAGCAAGATGGAGAATAATTTGATCAAGGTTCTGCAGAAATTTGTTTTTTTCTTCTCCATCATAGTCCGAGCTTGAAATGTTACCTTCTCCTGTCCCCTTCTGAAGAAGCTGTTCCAAAATCATGCAGAGAGAAAAAATATTCTCATATTGGGTAACATTATACTTGGCCTCAATCTAGAAATAAAGAAAAAGTGCATAAGCATAAACTGAAAATGCTTTTGCAGCCCATCAATGCTCCAGAGAATGTTGTTAAAATTCTTAGCAATGTTTATTTTGATATAATTGAGGATAACTGTACAATTATTTACATTTCCCCACAAAAAAATAACCTTTTCATTATACATGCCACCCTCCAAGCAATTAAATACATTTTAAAATCCAAAGCTTACCAGCTTCCACAGTAAATGGTTTAAGAAAGCTTATTTTCCCACTTAGCCATAGAAAGACCATGACATTCTATAATCATACATGGATGTGCCAATCAAAATCAATGCAGTGGTACCTTCAGATCTGCTTTTTAAAACAAATACATTATAAACTGAATAAATCTTTGCTTAAGCCCTCAAATACCAAATAGCATACTGTTATACTTTTACATGAGAAATTAGGTAATTTAACACCAAGGAATTAGACATCATAATGCACAATTATATTTCCCATGGAAAAAACAGTCTTGAAGGCTACTGAATCTCTCTCAGGCTACAAGATTGGGCACAGAAAGACAACACCAGTTGTTATGATGGATGATTTCTTGCTGTCTATTGAGACATTAACACTCATTCTCCTGGACCTCTAGCTGGCATCTGATACCACTGATCACCAAACTATTCAGAATCTAGCTTGGGAGTAGAAATAGCCTTAAATGGAATGGTTCCTCTCAGACTGAACCCTGAAATTTGTTATACCAACTGTCCATCCACCTCCAAAAGCCTCTGACTTTCTCTCACTTATTATTCAACATCTACATACACACTTTGCATGGAGTATGCAGTGGTAGTGTCATCTTTAATTAAAATAGCTTAACAAAAGAAAGACTAAAGGGGGACATTATTACAGGCTACAAGTACCTACATGGGGAACAAATATTTAATAATGGGCTCTTCAGTTTAGGAGAGAAAAGTATAACATGATCTTTTGGCTGGAAGTTGAAGGTAGAAACATTCAGTTTGGAAATAAGGCATACATTTTAAACAGGAAGTGTAATTAACCATTAGAACAATTTACCAAGGGTTGTGGTGGATTCGCCATCACTGACACTTTTTAAATTAAGATTTGATATTTTTCTAAGAGATATGTTATAGGAATTATTTTTGGGGCAGTTCTATGGCTGGTGTTATAAAGGAGATCATACTAGATGATCTCAATAATGCTTCCTGGCCTTGGAATCTATGAAGCTCAACACCTGCTTCTTCAGACCTGGCAAGATTTAAAAGCCAAGGGTATAAAGGGGAAAATAAAAGGACTGAAACATCACAGAATATGAAACTATACGAGATAAACCCAAAGCACCAAGGATAGGTGGGTACATGGAGTTACATTCAAGGTTTGTGTTGGAACTTTAAGTTCAAATTGCCTCAGTTTCTTGCATTTAGTTTCTCCCTCTCGCCCCACTCTAATATAACATTATATTAGTGTTATAAAAGGATAATACATTCTCAACCATAACTCCCACTTATTGTCCTGGAACAACTGTTGCATAGTCAGGACTATGTTTTGAATATACTGTTCACTGTTTTTCTTCTGGCACCAAAGCTCTCCCTGGGACATCTGCAGGATAGGCGAGAAAAACCTTTCCATCCTCTGTTTGCTGATATCTTGGAAACTCCACAAGTGTGAACTCATGGAGTTTTCCTACTGTGGATTTGGGATATCCCAGTCATTCATTTAGTGATGGGAATGGGGACACAGATTTAATTGGTTGTATAATTACAAAAACGTAGGGGACGACACACACACACACACACACACACACAAATGAAAAGAAATGTTACAGAATAATGAACAAAGAAAAAATTAATTTGTGGTTAAGGTATTGGAGGTCTGGGTTCAACTCCAGTTTTTTCCAAATATTTTCTGTGTGACCTTAGCCAAGTTACTTAGGATGGAATTTTCAAAAACATCTAAGTGAGTACCACTGCTTTCAATTGGATTGGTATTCCAAAAAAATCACTGACTTTTGGAAAATCCTACCCTTAATATCTCAATGCTACAGTTCCCCATTGGTAAAATGGAGAGAATACTTCCCATTGTCATAGGGGTGTTCTGAGGATAAATTCATTAATGTTTTTGAGGTACTCAGATACTACGATGATGGAACCCATGTAACCATCTAGACAGAATACTGCAGTAGAGGGGTTCACAGATTGAACCACATTCCATTTTGTTACAAAAACTCCTTTAAAATAGATTTTTTTTTTTTTTAGCATGACCTAGGTCAGGGATTGGTAACCTTTGGCACACAGCCCATCAGACAAATCCGCTGGCAGGCCGGGACGGTTTGTTTACCTGCAGCATCCGCAGGTTCGGCCGATCACAGCTCCCACTGGCCGTTCCAGGCCAATGGGGGCTGCGGGAAGCGGCGCAGGCCAAGGGATGTGCTGGCCGCTGCTTCCTACAGTCCCCATTGGCCTGGAACGGTGAAAAGCGGCCAGTGGGAGCTGCGATTGGCCGAACAAATATATATGGAGACAAGTCTCTTCAAGACACCATTTCCTTGAATTTTATACAAGAATCTTGTATAAAAGAGTGACAATATAGACATGAAGTGCTGTATAATAAAATCTTGTGACCGATAACTATAGAATGCTGTCTCTCTTGAGGGACCACTCTCACAGTAAGGTTTTCTTCACTCCTAATATTATTTACAACTCTTTTCCTCTGTTGTGGAAAAGAGAACAGGTACCTACTATTTATATTCATCACATGTGGTCTGATAGTTTCCATTCATGTTTTAATCCTGGTGGTGTTTCCAAAAACATCCTTAATATATTGTAAAAATATGTTCATTTCTAAATGCACTAAAATTCTAGTGCAGAAAACACTGATATTGTTGAGATATTTTGTACAATTTTCAAGAGTGACTAATGACCTTAGGTGGCTCTATTTTTGAATGTCCAGCTTAAAGGGACCCAATTATCAGAAAATGTTGGGCATACCTGCTCTTTGAAAATCAGACTCCTTTTAGTTGTATCAAGTTGGGCACCCAAAAATGAAGTCACTCCAAATCAATTTTCACTTTTGAAAACTCAGCCCATAATATACATACTATGGTAATGTTTTAGTAATTGCATTTTGTATTACATTACAAAACATATTACAATTTTAAAGTGCTATAATGGAAATATCAATTTTATTGTACAATTACATTTGTTATTGTATCATGTTGGCAAGCATATTAACCTGAGGGCATCACTAATTAAATACAAATGAATAATTATATACAGATTTATAGGCAGTTTATCATAATTGAATTCTGTTTCTGAGGATTATGAATCCAATCCTGCTCCTACTCTGCAGTCAGTTGCAAGACTGCCATTGACAAGTAGTGAAGGATCACAACCTAAAAGAGTGACAGAGAAAACTTGTGGTTTCTCATAAAAGAGTTAGCCACCAACCTGGAGATCATCCCAGTTTTGGCCCACCCAAGGAGAGAGGTAAGCTGGGTAGTCTCTCCCTATTGCACTCTACAGACCCTCAGGAGAAACAGTCCAATTTTGTTTAGTAAACTATCACCGTTAATGACACAATCAGAAACCTGCCCAAACCTAACCAATTAAAACTGCTAACAACTATAAAATGAGGATTCTTTACAGATTTGTAAAGTCTAAGGCCAGAAGGAACCATTGTGATCATCTCCTCCACAATGCAAGCCATCAAGCTTCCGCAAAATAATTCCTATTTAGTTTAATTAATAAAGCAAAGGTTTTGATTGTTTATTTTTATGCAGTTTCTTAATCCAAACTGGTGGATGTCTCTATTATGGGAAACTAAAATTACAAGAAAGGAACATTTCCCCTCTTATCCAATGATAATCACCAGTTGGGATGACACTGCTAGAAAGTAAAAGCAGAAAGATAAAAGTGCTTCTTTGGGTGGAGAGCGGGATACAATTCATAATCAAAACATATATCATTAAACGAAAATTCCTAATTCTTTGCCATTACTACTATAGTGAGGGAAGTCATTTTTGTTGAATGAAGTCATATACCAAGGTGGTGATTTGTTACAAGCGTGTCAACAGTATACGTTATACAATTATCTCTATATGCAAATCGCAGTTTTGAATTCATTGAAGGCCTTCTTAGCATTATATATTAGAGTATCTAAAATCCTCTGGGCATTGGGTTTATTAAAGTAAAATTTTAATCCCTTCTTATGACCAGCATGTGGAGTTGCCTTTCCATTTCGTATTAGGCTGTCAGGAACAAGAAGAGAAAATGAAAAGGTAGTGTCCTGCTTAATAGCAGGACCCATTCTTTTTTTCAGTACTATCTTGTCCTGAAAAGACCATAATTATGATGGTTAGATGAATAAAGTTCCTAGCTAGCTAATCCTTCTAGCTAAAACAATAGCTTGTAGGAAATCAACTTTATACATGAGAAAGTTGAGAAATATGTTTGGTAAGGGTTGAAAAAATGGTTTGGATCTCTGGCAAACTGCATGTTCATATGCATACAAGCAGATCTCAACCTCTAGTTTCTGACTGTTTGGGCTATAGCACCAAAAATGTCGGCACTGAATTTCATTATGGCACAGATCATACAGCAATAAAATAGTGTGAAATAATACTTCAATGAGAACTGTTGGTCACTCACCACTTTTGAAAAACCGGGCAAGTGCGTAAATGTGGATTTAGGATCTTATAACTTTAGCTTGCTATTTTATGAAAATTGTGACCTAAGAGAGGACAACAGTTTTTTCATGTTCTTTGTGACAAACTCCTACTGATGGCAGTACGAGCTCTCCTGTAATTAAACAGTGGTTTATGGCCCTAACCTTGCTTGCTGCTCCCATCCAGGAACCATAATTAAAAATGTAATTTGGCTCCTTCCAGAAAATATACCTCTTATTGTAATCACCCTCTTCCAATTTAAATTTCTCACCTTATTGACTGGCTTTTTCAAAACTTGATGAATTGGACAAACATCCCTCATTGCTTCCCACAGCAAAATGGG